AAAATACATCATTTTAATACGTATTTGTTACATACGTGTAATGATTCTGTGAACTTTTCTCACACTGAGTTGCATAAATAAGCCATAATAAAACGCCAGCTAATTGTGTCCAGTCTAAATGCATATTGGAATGGTACAAATATTTCCCAGCAAAGAGTTCACAGATCAGCAAAGATCATTTATAGAAAAAAAGAAATTTGTTTCTTTAGCAAACAGTGCACAGGTTGCAAGACAAAGTTTAAGAACAAATTAGTTTCAGTTGTATATTTTTCTGGTTTCTAAAACTTTCTCATTCTCTCCTTTCTGCACCCTCATACTTTTACACTATCCATCCTCTTGGTTTTTTCTAAGGACATAAGTAACCATACTATCCTTAAAGAAAGTCAAAAGAAGTAGAAAATACAAACTGGTAACACTTCACTACTTCACAATGATTGTCCAAACACATATTTAAGATCATTTATTCCCTATGAATCCTCATGAAAAGGAAAACGACATTGACTACATATCCTGCATATATTAACATGACATGATCTTAAAATAAACCTGTGGAAACTGCACAAAAACCAACTTCAGGAAAAGCTTCTGTTTGCATCTCCATCTTTCAAGCCCAGAAAAACAACTCCTAATTACTTTCTGAGTATGTCAAATAAAGCTCCAACATGAGTTAAGAATAGGAAGGAAGAATATGTTTTGCAAGAGACAAATGTTCAGGACAGAACACCTTTTCCCTTGCTGTGCCTTCCTCATCTACACCACGATTGAGGTTTTCAAGGCTTATAAGAATGAACTGAGATTCTAGAGATTTGTCGATGATTTTTAGATGTTGGCACCATTTTTACACTGGGAACAATGCAAACACCCATTAATACTGGGTTTACATGCACTCACCATCCTTTGCTGACTTAGTAACCAGCACCCCACAGTCAATAACTCGCACATCTGCGTAGGGTCTACTTGCAGTATCAGTTTTCAGATTTTCTATTTGTTCTATGACTTCAAAACCAGAAATAACCAGTCCAAAGACCACATGTACACTGCAGGAAGAAAATATTTGGACAGTACAAAACACACACATATATATATGCATATGAATATATATATATATCTGAATATACATATTTTCCAACTAATTTCAAAGTCAGTCTGAAATAGAAACATTCAGCTCTTAAAAAGATATTAAGTTTTAAAAAAAAATCTTTTTTTTATACTTGTAGCAACGCTGAGATTCTATGCAACATAAAACAGAGCTCCACTCTGCTTCAGTTAGAAAGAAATACTGAATGTCAGTCCACTCTTCTTACACAGGCAGAGTGAACATCATAATTTCTAACCCACCCTTCTATTTCTGCAGTTTTGTGCACTAGAGATCAAGAGTCCATATACAAACATGACAAAAGGGCAGTTTTCCCCAGAGAAGAAGAATTTATAGGTCTCTACAAACTCAGAATACAAATTCCCCACTGGCATTGCAGGGACAGTTATAATGAAGGAATCCTTAGCTTTGTTCCTTGGTACCACATTTCTCTTTCCTTCCTCCATTTGCCCCATAAATTTGGGGGCTAAAACATGGCACAAAAGAGATGACTATTTAAATACATAAAATTTGACTATTCAAATGCATAAGCTTGACAATTCAACTCCCTGATTTATGGGCTGAGAGCAGCAACCAGTTCTAAAGGAATAACATTAGGATTTAAGGCAATCCAAGTTTTTGTTCAGCTTTAGGAAATGAGTTGCAATTTGAAGTTTTTATAGAACTGAAACTTGTGGTTTCCATCTTGTTCTATTGTATAACCTTTCACAGAATTAAGAATTTGTTTCCCCATTGTTGTCTACTTTCAATATAACATGTGAAGACTTATAACCTTTAAACTTTAGGCACCAGTGGAGGAACTGGAAATGATTCTTACCCATCCAGATGAGGAGCAGGTTTGGTTGTTCTGTTGGACAAACAGCAAGATGGGAAGATGGTAAAATAAAATAAAATCAGGGATTCAGATGAAGCAAAAGAAGAGAATGACAGAAAAAAAAAAAAAGAGGTGAAGGGTAAGACAAAAAATAGTGAAAAAATCCAGTTACATACATGGAATTAATACATTCAAATTACAGATTATACATACAGGATTTCTGAAAGCTTTTACATGAAATTTGTTTGATGTTTAGCTAACTGTGCACACTTGAAAGTTGTCCCAAGTATCATTTTATGCATGCAGTAAACAATCTCCAAATAAGTGTCTTTAAATACACAATAAATGTAACTCTTAAGATATTTTAATCACAGAAAACATACAATTTGGCAATAAATATTGGGTAACTAGTGGAAATTGTTTCTGAGGTTGTTAGATTACAAGGTCACTTTATAGTCAGTTTCTTTAATAAAAGAAGAGTTATGATATGTGATAGACTCTTAGCTTCACCTCTCCCTCCCACCACTTCTTCATTTACCTGTTTGGCCTTGTGACTCAGAATACAAAGCAATAATTCTGTCTTATACCATCAAACACTTCAGCTCCTAAGCCCAAAGGCTTCCCAAAACCAACAGCAGATCATGTGCCACCCTACAGTTCACTTCTCTGAGAAATGTAAAATTCCTCCCTGGTTTGTAGACTAAAGGGGATATGCAACTGCATTTTGTACAAATCTTTTTGATTTTAACTCTATGACTTCGTATCTCTCTTTATCCTTTTCCAAACCCAAAAATCAAGTTACTTCTACAAGTGCTCCTGCACTACTGATGCACAGGGAACCTTCCTGTGCAGACAAAGGGAGTAAAGATCATCAGAACCTGCTCACGTACTGGGGGAGAAAACAAGCAGAAGTCAAGATAATTTGCATTTAAAGTTACTTTAATATCTGAAAACATTCTTCCTCTCTCCTCCCAGGTACTATTTTGCTTTTCTACTCTTCTCCCAATGAACTCCTCTCTCAAATAAATAATTAATCACAGATGAGTTTTCTAAATTTACAGTAACACAGATGTGGTACATGAAGTCATTTTTCACTGCTATAATAAAACATTACTTTTAAGCACGTATCTTCCCTTGAGTTTTGAACTATTAGGTCACAAAACACTGCAGTGCTGGAACTCATCCCAAAAGATGGAACTGTGAATCAGGAGTGTTTACACTCCTGATTTTTTTTTTTTTTTTAAGCTCCAAATGTCAACCAGACCTTCCACTACTGGAATATTAAATAATACAGGAAACTTCTTTGGGGTAACACAGGGGAATAAATGCTACCAAGACAACACTAAATTTCTCAGTAGTAGGGAGTGTTCTTTGGTTTTCCTTTGCTAAGAAAATGAATTCATACAAAGAGAAAAATGCTCACAGCTTTTGAAGTTCTTTAAGCAAGAGTTAACTGCATTAACAACCTGCTGTTAAGTAAACAGTTTAAGTGGGTTTAATTATAAAGCTGATTAAAAGGCAGGAAAAAACTAGAAGTTACTTCCATGAAACCAATAGCACAGAAGATTTCAGTGTTTAGAATTAGCTAGAAAGAGCAGTGGGTTCCCCCACATTGCTGTGAATGCTGCGTTTGCTCCTGCCATGCTGCTGCAGCATTTAAGACCAATTAAGCAAACTACCTAAGCAGGAACTTTCCTTAGCCTAGTCCTAACTGAGCAAAGAAAGGGAGAGTTGGTGCATTAAAGCCCATGCAGAGGTTTCTGCCCTTACACTGTCAATTGGAGAGGTAAAATGGATAGGATTTCCCTCATTTACCTGTTCATGAAGTGGAAACATAAGGAATTATTCCAAAGGAAAACCTTTCAGATGCACAATCACAAGGTGACCGAACAACTTCCTGTGGGAAGCAGAACCCCAACTCCTTGTGGTGCTTTTGAAAGGTTTCTCACCTCAGTGCTGCAGTGCGACATTTATTTTGCAAAGATGCACTTGAAAAGAACATTTAAAAAATTTTTCTGCCTTGATCCTTGAGTACTTGTGCTTTGGCTTCAAAACTTCATCAGGAGAAAACCTCCCTCCTGCCTTTGCACTACAGAAACCTGAAGTCATGATGAGTTCCTCCCCCCAAAAGATAATTTATTAGAACATTTCTACATAGAACTTTCATAGTTTAAAACATTCAAAATCTGCTACTATTATCCAAATTATTTACAGAAGGATAAATAAGTTTCTTCACTCAAGTTTAAACTGGTTTAAGATACTGCTGAAGAGAAAATCATCTTTTTGATAAAAGCATGTTATCACCCACCTCCCCAAGAACCTGAGGCCTAACAAAGGGTTCAGTGCACATAACAATATGATCAGCAAAACAAGAAAGATAAAAACAGAAAGCAGAAAAGGAAAGGACACAGCCTTAGAGGAATGAGACATTACCTTTGGAGCGCAGGATGTAACACTGTTTCTGTAAATTTTACACAAAAATGGCAGAAATAAATTGTAATACATTTTCAGACAAAAACTGAGTCTATGTTTTATTAAATACAAGTTTAAAATTCATATTCATCAAGTTGTATGCAGAACAAGGATGCCTAAAAGAGGGCTCTAAATTTTCTTTAGAACACAAAGTACTTTGAAAACTAAAATTCTCCTTAAAAACAAAAAGAAAACTACAGACATAACCAGTTGAATACACTGTTACAAAAACAGTTAGCAAAGAGAATCCTCCCACTCCCCTCTGAGTCTCAACCAACAAAATGCAGAAGTTTAAGCAGATGAATAACCAATTTCTGGCAGGTTATTCACATGCTTGCAGTTACACAGGGGTTCAAATGCTCTGCTGAATCCACTCCTAGGTATAAACTCCACAGGCTGGCACAGCAGAACCTTTGGATTCACAAATGAGATGTGTAAAGCCACTAAGTTTACACCTTCATACATTTCATAGTTAGCTAACATCTTCCTTGGATGATGAACCTTTTCTAGAACTGAGAAAAACAGTTGTTTTCTTTCATCTGGGCACTGATTGCTTCTGTTCAGTTACAGAACAACACTGCAGATGCAAAAAAGCCAAAACATCTGCACTAGTTCCTATTGCACTTTGCTCTGGCTTAACTCTGAGCAGCAACAATGTTTTTAAAATGCATTATCAGTTGAGCTTATCCATAACCTCTCAGATAAACTATTAGTTATTAATTATCTCTGCATATTCAAGCACTGAAATGATCTTTTTGTTACTCACTACACCTAAAAGCATCCTTGGGAATGCTCTGACTTTGTCAAACTTCTCATCAAGCCAAAGGGACCTGCCTGTGTGCTAAGTGCACACGTACCACTCTTGCTCAAAGATAATGCAACATCAGCCCCTTTCATTTTGGGATTTTTATTAGGTAACTGTTCAATAATTAGCTCAAAAGAATTTCAACTCAAAATAAAAAAAAGGAATTAATAACTTAATTAGAAAAACACCTGTTTTGGGACAATGAAAGGACATGAACTACTTGTAATGAGTTGGTAACATTCAGATATAATTTGCAAAAATCAAAAGAGTCCTCACAAATTATTTTATCCTTCATTTAGCAGATCAAAGTGGTTAGGGTTGTTTGATTTTAGGAACTAGGCAATGGCACCGCACATTAAAACACTTTTAAAACAAAAGAAGCTATTTAGTTCTGAGCAAGAAAGCAGAGCTTAGAGACACATTAACCCAACAACATCCTTAATATGGAAAACAAAGTAAATCCAGCAGTAAAAGGAAATCAGACTCAGGTTTTAAATAGCTTTTGACCACAGAGGCAAACACTCCAAGCATTTGAACTGATAAGGGACACAATCTAGGGCTCCTCTAAGTTGCAGTAAGGACATATTCCTCAGTAAACTACACAGTTAAATAACAAGGCAAAAAATTGATTATTACACAAAACTTCCCAATGACAACAAAGAATGTGGTTACTTTTTTTTTTTCTTCCTATTGTTTCTTTATGCTTCATTCTGCACAGGCACTTTTTATTTTATACTAAGAGAAACCTAACAGATTTTGTATTTTGCAGAGTTAAGCCCATGCAAACATTTATAGGATCAAGAGTGTCATTAATTTTACAGTCCTTTAAACACTCATTTTCACAAGAGTTGCACTTATTTTGTATTGTGATTTTTCCTTCCTAGCAGGTTGGAAATGGCCACATGCATGATGGAGTTGCTCTAAAGAGACAAGATAATATCGGATCAGCTTGACTGAGAAGCAAAATACATCACTTCAAAGCAACATCCAACAAGCAATTCAGCCACTGAGCTGAAATATCCAAGACTAGACCAACTGTCCCCCAACTAGGCTCTAAATCAGGGAGCTAAAGACATCAGCAATATTTGTGCAATATCCTAAATATACTCCCCCAAAACAAATAATAATCAACTTTCTGGCAGCAACTGAAAACAGATATTGTAATACAAAGAAGATGATTCCAGCGGCCCCTGTCAACCTCTACCCCATCCTAAGGATTCCATTCCTGAGTACCAACATGGAAACAGGACAATTCAAGATTAACATACTTGGGTGGTGTTTAGAACACTTGCAAAGTAACAGAATCCAATCAGTTTGTTTTCAGACAGCGCCACTCAAATAGCCAATTTATAACCTGGTGTCTTACAACTACCTCCAATACAAGCCTACAAAGGATCCTTTTGGGTCAAGGAAATTTCAATTCCAATAATTCACAAATCCACACATTCTAAAGGGATGCTCTGTGTGTCCTTTCTGCTGGATCATAACATGATGCATATTCCTTCAGACTACTAAACGTTTCACAGACATGTGTGAAGAGACTATTTAAGGTCCTATTTCAAGCAGATGTGCCTGAAACACACAATCCTTCCTCAGCTAAACATCTCATTTCCACCCCATGTTGCTCCTACTCAAGTAAGACAAAAAACAAGTGTGGAAAATTAGTCCACAAGCATTAAACACAGCACTTCTGATACTATACAGATGCACTTCTGACTCCTCATTCTACACAGTTTCTACCAGCGCCTCACCTGCTGATGTTCATTCCTTTCCCATTGCTCTCACTGGTGCTTCCCAACTATACTTCCACAGCCTTTTCTAGGCCCAGTTCTCTATTGTTGCTTCTAAATTCTTCAAGTTCACTCATGCTGAATCAAAGAAAGTGTTTCAGGATGGGTCAGATGCTTGTTTACATTAAGATTAGTTTGGAGCTTCAATTTCCAGTGAAACTGACCAATTTGGCTCAACTTTTATCAATTTTTAGGCATTGCAGTCTTGTTGCAACCAGTTAGTTAGTTAGTGCAATCTGCCAAAGAGGTATTTGCTGCCCGATTACTTCCGGTAAAGGACTATGCCAAATCACATTTTTCTGTGGTAAGCAGGGAAAGCACTTCTGGGGAATAGCAGAACTGTTATGATCAGCATTCTTGCTATTATTTTAGCTCTGCTTGGACTAATAGATATATAAAAGAAAAAAAACGTATTTGCACTCCTTATCTGCTGCATTAGATATGTACAAGAAACAGAGTTCTGATCCCTGAAGTTATTTATGAAAACAAAGGCAGAGCTCTAAAGAAGCTCAGATAGGGAAATAGTTCATCTCTTTCTACAAATCTAATCAGTAAAAAGATACATATTCAAACATTAAAATAAATCTAGATCAGCCAGTGCAGACTGCCTTTCACAGGCTTTTCAGGTTACACATTTAAAGAACATTTTTCCTAATGCCAAACTACTAACTGAGAATTCCTTGGAGAAGAGAATGCACATTTTAATTTCAGCTTAAAATATGTTACTAAAGGAAGCAGAAAAGCTGTATAGATGCACTGAACATTCCCTAAAGGAATCAGACAAATGTCACCAAACAAGACTAACTGTTTTAATAAATTGCATTTCAAAGTTAAGTCAGAAACTGCCTAGATAAAACCTTTAGTAGTTGTTTCCCAGTTGGATGCTTGATTCATTTCCCTGACTCCAGGGCTTGCTGGTACCATTTAAGACATTACAGGATAGCCAAGAAATCTGCATGGGGCAGGAAGGGAAAGCACAAGAGCTTCAGAGCACCCACATCCTCTCTCCCAGCAGCTGAAGGCCAGGCAGGACACCCCAAGACCCTAAAATCAGCTCTGGATTCCTACAGGTAACTGAGGTGGATCTAGTTTACATGGAGATGACCATGTTTAGGTCTCTTACTCTGCCTGAATCCCTACTGAAGTAACACTTTCTCTTTGCAGTGATTTCATGGATTTTATACTTTTTATATTTAAATTCTTCTGTACTTTAAATGATCTTAAATCCTGTTCATTTTATTGCCCCAAGTAAATTCTAATTTAAGACCCAACACAACCTTGGGTTGTTTTGGTGTGTGGAGAGCGACAAGTTGTTTAAATCTAACCCAACAAGTACACTGAGTCTAGGAAAGAAGATGACTTGGGAATCAAATGCAGGAGAGAAAAGAAACTTTAGAGCCCTCAAATGACAGCAGCTTGACTGATGTGACATCATTAGGTTTGCATGTATATTGTTCAGATAAGCTTAAAAATGAGTAAATTATGGCAAGAGAACCCAGAGACAAGTCATCAAGTAGCAAATAGTGAACCAAAGTCATTCATGGAGCTTGTTAAGTCCCAAAGGTTTATTTATATAGGCTGTTTTCCATATTAATGTGCACACAGAGCCATTCAGACTCACTGTGAGGAAGCACAACATCTAAAATTTGGTTTGAAGGTACCAGAAAAGAAGCTTTTGACACAATTGTTTTTTTCTATGCAATGTCAGACCAGCAGTAATTGTCAAAGACTCTCTCTTAGGTTCCTATGCATTTTCCATTTTTAGGGCATGTTTTAGGAAGAGACCTAAAAATGTCTCTTATCTGAACTACATCATATCATACTGAAGATCTTTTTCAAGCAAAGGAAAAAACAAGATTTTGGAGGACAATTTACTCCTTTACTGAGGACAGGGAAGCGCCATTCATTCCTATCCCCCAAGAAAGATGGCAAAGAAAAAAATATCTGTTTTTCTAGTTAAATAACTAGACTAAAATATACTTTTGAACCCCCAGTGTTGTTTCACAAAGTACTGCTGAGCACAAGACTAAAGGTATAAACCTGCTCTTGCCAAACACAAACTGTTAAACATTAACAGGAGGCAATTTTCAAAAGGGAGTTTACAGGAGGAATAATCACAGCAAAATTAGCAAGTTTAAGGATACTGATCCTAAAATGCACCTGTTTTAAACAGAAACCCTCAGTTCTCAGATCTGAGTATTTATTGATGGGGAAGTCTCTTGCGTTATCTACAGTTAACCAGGATATCACTGGATACTAGAATGGGAGTTTTTGTGAGGTAGTGAAGGAAAAATCTGATTATCAGCACATAATTTGACATAGTATTGGTCCCAAAGTAGTTGGCATATGCACAAGGAAACAGAACTATGCAGTAACATATTCAAAAAGCATGTCAGGAACAAACCCTCAATACTACTACTGTTACTACTAACAATAATGCCCCTCACTAAATAAAACCTCCACTCATCCTCCCCTGAATAAAAACACACAAAGAAACAGAAAACCCCAAATTAAATCCTAACTCACTGTCTTTTGAAGATCACATGCAAACCCATACAAACCACCCCTGTATCTCACTCCCCTTCACATTCAATGCTCCACACTGTAATGTGCAGCTAATCTGATCAGATTTGGTTGGTGCACACACAAAGCCAAAGCCTTCTTCCTGGACACTAAGGCCTTATGTCATAAGTGATATTTTTAAGGTAAAAAACAATAAGCAAGGAGCACCCATGGAGTAGCAGCCTGAATCCAAATGAAGGCCACTAGCAAATTGGGATCACTAAGGTTTCCTATCACCCCTTACACTGCAGGCAGCACTGATCCCTAGCTACAATCATGGATAACGTGGATAGGGAGGGTTTAGCAATACCATCTTTCTCATGAACAGCGCTTCTCTGTGTAAGAAAAGCTTAACTGTCACATCACATCTACTCACATGAAGAATTGGGAACCATTGGTATGTTTCCCTCGGTTTGCCATTGACAAAAGGAACGCTCTGTCATGTTTGAGAATAAAGTTTTCATCTGTTTGAAGAAAAAACATGTTTGTCAGATTTTCCCTGACAAGGAATGCAAAGTCTACTTTTCTTAGTAACTTATGTATGAGAGAAACTTAAGGAGAAATTCTGCTGTTGCTGGAGAAACATGAACAGATTGAAAAAGAACAGCAATCAGGTTTAAAAGCAAGACTCTTAAAACGTACAGTTAAGACAAAGCTTTGGTTCTTAAAAGTTTCAGATACAGTGCAAACATTTCTAACGGAAAATAATTAAAGTCATTATTAGTCTCTTCAATAAACATTGGATTCTCATAGGTTTGGATTTCAACACAGCATTATTTGGGTAAGAACAAGGTTGGAAGTTACTGATGTTCTAAAACAAGTCTTAACACATGTGATAATGTTATTTAACACTCCAGGTGGAATAACAGGAGAAAAAAAGCCATATATATCCTTGGCATGGGATGTTAAAAGATGTCACTTTCCAAAACTGTAAATCTCAAACCATACAATGAAAATAAATCCCCTAAATACCTGAATGAGATACTAGAGAGCATATTCTTCCTGCAACCTAAGTATAAAATTAATTAAGACTAAGCATTCATTTTGTATTTCAGTGAATTAAAGACTTCTGGTTGTACAATGTCACATAAAACCAGCCCTTCTGCAGCTCATTTTCAAAGCTACCAATAGCAACTCGAGTGTACAAAGCTGCTACTCTTAAGATTCCATGCACCTTTAGCACTCACCCTGTGAGAAAAAACCCTGAGGGATGACTTAGTAAAGGGATCTACTCAAACTGTCTTGGACTAAAGACTTTAATGCTCCAACACCAAACTATGTCTCTTGTTTAAGACAACCTCAATGTCATGCACTGACCCAGGCAGAGCTACCTGCAGCACATACAGAACCAGGGGCTGTACGTCATTATTTCCAGTGTCTTTATTAATGCCTGAAAACCATAGTCATGACCTGTTTGTTCAGGAAAGAATTGTATGTCTTTAAACAATACTTTACAAACTCACCATTTGCCTTCCAACATAGTTTAAAAAGAAGTAAATGTAAATCTATATACAGATTCTTTGCAAGGAAAATAACTTGTGCAGCGTATAAATAAAGTCAAAAACACTTTCAGAAAGCAACACTAAGCATACAAACCTGGAGCAGGGAAGGGGAGGAAAAGGGACATTAAAAAAATAAGAAATAAAAAAATAAGAAATAACTGTTTAGAGCTGGAAATTATGGCAGAATTCTTTCTCAGTATGAGCCATTAACCCTCAGGAAGGTTAGACACAGAACTCTTCATCTCTCCAAGCAACACAGAAATCCATGTACAAAGGATGTATCAGTTGTCTATGTATTTACTAGGGAGGGGACAAGGGAACAGAGTTGGAATTTGTGTTACTGAGCTTTTGTCTCTTACCTTTTCATTTTGCAAAAGACCACATTCTCTATAAACAAAAGAATATGTTGACAGTTTTAGGCAGGAAGATAGGAGTTTATTCATGAATAAAGTTGCCTAACCTCCATGCTGAAAGTCATGTTTAACCAATTATGTTAGCCTTAATTCATTGTCAGTTAAAAGTTAAATATTAACAAAAAATTATCTGAAAGTCATGCACATAAAAAGAATTCTCATGCAACATTAGCTTCATGCAAAAGGTGATCTATGAGTAGACCTGTTTTCATTAAGTACTTTGGGAATCAAGACTTGTTTATCTCAGAACTGAATGAAAGAATCTGCGAAGACTTATTTCTGCTTACCTTTAAAATAGCCACCATAGATAGATTCACCTCCTTTTCCATTACCTATGCATTAAAAAGCATCAATTAAAACTTGCTTTTCATTTATAAAAAGAGAAGTATGTAACATCCCACCAGTTTAGTACAAGGCACTTCTACTACACTCTCAAAACAGCGTAATCCCTCTCTAGGCTCATTTCATCAGGCACAAGACTTCAGGACACAATGAAGATCCACATTTGGGAAAGGAAAGGTATTTCAGGGAAGGACAACAGGCTAAAACATAGTGTCATACATATACTGCATGCAAAGAAACAGAAAATCCTGGAAAACCTTTTAGAGACTCTTAAAACACTTCCACCTCATTCACTACTTTATTATTAAACTTATTCAAACAGTTTTGTCCCTGTATCAACAGAACATCACCAGTGTTGCCTCTACTGCAGACACAAAAGGGAAAAGCAGTTAAGACTACAGTTTGGGTTTGAATTATTTTAGCAAGATGGAACATCATAAACCCTCCAACAAAGTTTTTAAAACACATTTTTCTAAGCCAATATTTCTTCCGTTGAAACATTTTAGAGTTACAAAAATTAACATGAAAATGGGTGATTTATGCTATACTTCACAGCAAATGAACTATTTTTATGGCATTGCAATACTCTCATGGCATTTTCTAACGTTAAAGCATAGCCATGTAAGTGATAACATTTCTGCTTTGAACATTTCAGTTTTAGAAGTCTTTTACCTTCACTGAAGTCCCCACCCTGAATCATGAAGTTTTTGACCACTCGATGGAATGTGGTGCCTTTGTAGCACAGCTTCTTTCCAGTTGTTTTGCCAATTCCTTTTTCACCTGCAAGAAAGTTAAACAAAAAAAAAAAGAATCTAAAGGTTGTCACTGAACAAATTCCAAGGGTTTTACCTCCCAAGTGCTACTGGATATGGGAACCATCAAACAGCAAAACCATAAAGGGTAACACAGTCCTACCTATTGTCTTTTCACCATCCATTAATAGCACAGGGACCCCTTAACAAGGGGTGAAAATTAAGTTTCTTAAAAAAATTCGTTCCACAAGGAGGATTGTGTTAATCCACTCAGGAGAATTTAGAAGAAAACAAGAGTTCAGGATAATGACGAGTTAACTATTTTCTGTGGTTACAGCTACACTGCTCTGTCAGCTGAATCACACACCAGAGTCCTCTGCAAACCACTTACACATCTGGATGTGCCAGATGATCCCACGAGAGAAATCTGAGCTCAGAACAGGCTTCAACTCAGTTTCAATGTGATCCACACTTGGAAAAGTGGGATAGAGCTATTCCAAGCATGTGTTACATCTTCTCCAATCCAGGCACAGTGTCAGGCCAGCTCTTAGTACCAGCTGGAGTTCAGGTGTACTGGTGATTTTTGAGCTAGGTGATCCCAGAACCTCAAGTTTCATATTTCTTCCAAAATTCAGAGGAAACACTGCCCTAGGCATATGGATGAGGGCACTGGGACTGGCAGGGCAGAGGTATGTAGTAGGTTTATGAGGGATTTATACTGGTTCAGTCCAGGAATGGCAGGAGACACTGACTTTAGCTTCCAAGAAGAGGAGAGTTGTTGGAACGTGGCAATTAACAGTAACAGGCATATTAAACGCTGTATAACAGCTAAAATCCCACAAGATCCACATGTATGGGAGATATTGTGTAAAGAACAAGATAAGTAACAGGACAAATAACCCAATACTCACTTTCATTTCACCACTGATTATGGAATAGGCATTTGGCACTCAGTGAGAGGACATTTAACCAGGATATTCCATACCAGAACTGCAGGTGTATTCTTCACCCAAAGCCAACACTCCCTGCCTTTGCAATCTATTGTTCTGCCACCCAAAACTAACTGATGGTCAAATCATCCCAAATTTGCCATCCCAAACAGCCCACCACTGCCAGGATGAGGGCACAGAGCAGTCTGTGGCATGAAATCCACTCAGGGCATTGCTGTTTGTTGTAGAAACCTTCACTTGGACACTACAACTTATTTTCCATTCCCTTGACTCTCCACACCCATAATCCATACCTCCTCCTCCCCCGTTTTTATTTTCCACAGGAGTTATGCAAGCAAATCTCTTTATTACAGGGATGCACACACCTCCTTTCTCCCCAAAACATGCCTCTCTTTGCTACAACATTGAAAACCTCACATCAAACAATACCAAGGAATATCTGCCTACAGTTTTGGTCATGTTTGAGCAAGTCCCTCAGGCTATGGATAAATCCCTTAACAAATGGGATCCTGCATGGCACTTTACCATGTAATTTTGCTGGAACACTGAATGCTGAGCTTTAGATCATGGCCAGAAGTTATAGTTCGGGTTTTTTGGTTGGTTTTTTTTTTTTAACTCTCCTTTACAGTATTGCTAAGACTTTCCCACTCGGGTAAAAGACAGAGGCCAGTTGTTGTTCCACTGGTTAGGAGTTGCAGCACCTCCCTAAGCTCAGACACTTTTCCACAACAACCAGGACAAAGCCCATGGGTTTGGCTTCTCCTTTGTTTAAGGCCAAATACTAGCCTTATTCTTTTTGCACTAAATATACTTGAATTTTGTCTGAAAAAGAAGAAGCATTGTCACTGAGCCCCACCTACTTGCACCCTTCCTGCCTAAGCACTTCTTCCCGTGAGCTGCAAATCACTTGGAAGTGGGATGGTGGAGAAGAACATCCATAAGCTGAGGAGGGCACAACCCACTGGCCTGTATCTCCCTGGGGCTGGTGAGCTTTGCTCTTGTGCCATATAAACACCTGAACTGCCACACCAATGTGACACAGTTTGAATTAGGTGCCAGGTGGTCTCCACTTGAGATGAGGAGAAGGGAAGCTCCTGACAAAGCAGCAAACAGCAGGTGGATCTGTTCCATAGCTGGACTAACTGAAGGGCTGCAAGTGCCAGCTTGCAAGTGCTGCTGCTGTAATTTCAGTGCAGGAGGCTCTGGCTGTCTGGGCAGGCAGTGATCCTTCACTGTGGCCACATCAACTTCTGACAACAATGTCAAGCTGCAGGAAGGCAGCCACAATCAACCTGTCCTCCTCCATCTGCTCCTGCCAAACACATCCTGGCTTGCCTCACAGAGATTATGGAGGGAGCAGCAGGCATGGGCCCAGTGTTCCAAACACTGGTGTCCAGTCTGTCCCTCAGGGCATATCACCTCGTCCTGGACAAGTGAAACCACTTCCAAGTGACACAATGAAGTGCACAGCCCAAATCAAGTTGCTGTGAGGTCACACACTACACCTACCTCCTCACAGGAGCACAGGCCTCACATATGGCTGTGGTTTATATTTGCACAAAAGAGTAATAATTGTAAGTGACAATAAAAAAATCTTAGCTATAAGCACAGCACTTACCAGAGCATAAGCAAAGGAAGTTTTTGCAAGTCTTGGGACATATGTCTGAGAAAAGTTGAAACATAATTCGACCAACTAGAAAACAAAAAATAGATTTTTATAACTGTTTAGAATAAGAAAATCTGCATATAAATATATCAGCATGTTTTTTAAAATACAATTTTCCGAGAAAAAGTTGTTTTCTCAAGCAGAAGAATAAAACATCTCATATATGCAAATATTAGCAGCAAGAAAGAACAATAATGCAATTGTAAAAAAACCCCACCAAAGCCCATAAGTAATATCATTACTTCTAATTTAGTAAAAATCCTAATTATTCCATTTTGATTTGAACCTGAAAAGCCAAAATTATTTACTGAAACATTTTAGCATGTCAATTCTTTTCTGTTTTGAAAGAGATCTGCCATAAACACAGGTCCTCAGAGAGCTGGAGAAATTCCCTCCCCAATTACTGTGTTTATACAAATACATTAATAATCACTGTGATCATTAGCTAAGAAGCCAAACTGACTCAGTCCCATGCTGTGTTAAGGATTACAGATGCATTGGCACTTTTGGCCTAAAATCCTTTAATTTTAAAAAAAAATAGACGGAAATAGGAAATACAAAGTACAGACAGGATTAACACTCTATTTGCCAAACACTATGAACCAAACACTACTTTCTTTCTGCTACTGGTAGTAGGTATGTGATACAACTTCCAAAATTATCAACTTCTTTATTTTATCAATATAACTATTGTTTATTAATAATTTACTTATT